CCCCCGCCCGCTCGCGCTGCTCCTCTGCGAGCCTGGGGAGCCAGGGACCCGCCAGGGCCCCAATCAGGGAAAGGGGACGGGGACTCGGCGGGGGCGGGGCGGGGCCCAATCAGGGGAAAGGGGCGGGGCTCGGGGGCGGGGCCAGGGAGGAGGCGGGGTCGGGGCGGGGCCCGCGGGGGCCGGGAGCCCGGGCAGGGCCAGCCCAGCTCCGCTGAGCGGTGGCGGCGGCGGCGGCGGCGGCGGCGGCCGGCATGGGCGATGGGGGCGCGGAGCGCAACCGGGGCCCCGCGCGCCGGGATCCCCGCGGCGAGCGCAGCGCGGACCGCGGCGGAGCAGAGGCCCGGAGCGGCCGCAGCCCGGAGAGCATCGCCAGGACCTCCAGCCCCGCGGGGTCCAGAGAGAGCGGCGCCGACTGCGACGGGCAGCCCGGGGTCGGGGAGACAGACCACTGCCGCCGCATCCTGGTGCGAGGTAAGGGGACAGCTCGCGGCCCTGGGCCCCTGGACCCCACCCTACCTCGACTGGGGTCTCCGATCCTCCCGCCGGCCCCACCTCCCAATCCATACAGTCAGTCAGTCAGTCAGTCAGTCAATGTTATTCTGAGTGTCTGGTGCGCTGGACATGGATAGGAGTGCAAGGGACAAAGCGGCTATGTGATGACAGAGAGAGGTGGAGGCCGGGACTCCGCCCCGCACTCCTCGCTGCAGGTGCAGGTGCAGAGAGCAGCGTCCCAGCTCAGCGGGGTCAGGGCTGGGGGCGATCAGAGCCCAGATCCGCGGGGCGGGGATAGGCCCGGGCTCTGCTCGGAGGCTGGGGAGCTGCCCGGCCTATCGCCCAGCCTTGTTCCCCGCTCCCAGCTTCGCAGACCGCTCCAGTCGCTCTCAGGAGAGGCCCTACCAGCGCCTGCCCGCCTATGCTATCCTGTGCTATGTTTTCTTGGTCCCCACTTCCTCAGGGCGCCCGGGCCCAGCCGCTGTGGGTGAGGCCTTCTCCGCCCGATCTGTCCCTTTCTCCCTCGCCCTTCTCTCTCCTCTCTTCTTTCGGGCCATTTCTCCCCGCCGAGCTCGCCTTGCCTTCTCGGCACTCTTCCTGAAAGCGCCCCTGGACTGCACCCGGGCACCCAGCTCTCCCTCGCCTTCTCCCTGCCTTCTGACCCGCCGAGCCCGCCTCAAGCGAAACTCTAGGCCCAGCTTTCGCCGGATCCGGGCCTCGCCCAGAGAGACGAGGGGAGAAAGGGAATTCTGGCGTCTTGCTCTTAGTCCGTTTCCAGGCTCCATCCGAGCCTGAGTTCTGTTTTCCCCAGCATCTCCGAACCCCCGGGGCCCAAAACCCAGAGCCCAGAAGAGGCCATTTGTGGGTAACGGTTCCCCTGGCTTCCTTCTCAGCTGCCTTTGTCCAGACCCTTCTTTCCTGCGCACACCATCCCACCCCGGGAAGGGGAACGAACCTGTTTCTAGCTAGAGGTCGCTCCAGGGCCAGGATCCTGGTTTTATCTGATCTGAACTGTGTTATCCACACACAGACTGGGACACCTGGGCCTAGTCGACCCCCCCACACACACACACACATACACAACACACACACATAGCTGCTGGGTTTGCGTGGCTCTGGGAATGGGGGGCAGGGCTAGAGTAGAGTATGAAGACAGTCCAGTGTGAAAGGATCCTGATCTTGGGAAACACTCCTGGTTTCAGGTGTGATCACTTAAAGATGGGGTACCCAGTGCCTTTCTAGGGGCGGGCGGGAGTTACAGGACAGGGCATGGGTGGAGTTTCCATCCAGCAGGAATTCCAGCAGGTGTATGGGCCTACTGGACACCGGGGATTAGATGAGATGGATGTCATTCCACAGACTGGGGGCTGTCCTGGGTGCAAGGCCTTAGGGCCCCAGCTTGGAGTTCCATTAAATAAATCTGCAGGATTTACAGAATCGGAGAAATCGGTCTGCTAAACCCATACTCTCCTATTAAGGCCCTCAAGCGCCTGTGACACTCACCACCTCACACCCCATCTACGGGTGGGCATTTCCTTCTGCCTGGATCATTGTGACTTCTGTGGGGTGCAAGACACCCAAGCCAGGAATAACCCACATCCAGGCAGAGATGAGCTTGTGAGCATGGGCAGGAGGTGTACTTTTATAAATGCCTGCATGCACATACAGGGATGCCATTACATTTGCACAATAGAATGGAAATATGCCGTTGAATGTGTGTTTACACGCCTAAAAGAAATAAAAGGTACACAGGGCCCTCATAAATCCCTCTGTCCTTTCCCGTGTGGTGACAGGGAGGTTATTATAGGCCTGAGATACTCCGGAGGTCACCTACCACTAATCCCTCCCAGCCAGGGTCACCTGCGTCACTCCAGGCCCTCCTGGGCTCCTGAGCAGAGGCTCTGACAAGTAAAAGGCTCAGCATTAGTGCGGGAAGTCAGCAGTGTCTTAGCCCCAAGAGGAATGTCCCTCCGTATGCTCTAAGCAGAGGGTACATTTTGCCCTTGACCTCTGAGGACACCTCCTAACTATCTCTGGAGGAAACAAAAATCAAAAATAAAAAAGGTAGATGGAGGCATTTGCCATCATAGCCTTCAGGATGCCGGTGGCTGCGAATTCTGGGAAAGATCCCATTTGCTCTTGGCTTTCCCTTCTTTCTCCCTCTTCTCCACTCTGCACTTGCTCCCCTGAAAGTCCCCATCTCAAAGTAGCAAATCTTTGGGGGCCGTCCCATGACACAGGGGAGTAGGAGAGGGTGCTGGAATTAAGAGAAGTTGGTTTGTAATACTAGCCTTACCGCCTTTTGAACTTGAACCAGTCTCTTTGCCCCTTCATGCCTCAGTTTCCTCAGGTGTACAAAGAAACTCATAGCTCTTTCCTGGAAGGGCTGTGCTAAGGGTCGGAGTGATGCCCATAAAACTGCAAGCACGCAGCAGAATCTGCAGAAACGTTCCACTGAATGAAACATGGGAAGCTGGGAGATGACCCACAAACTGCTTCTGGGAATGGGGTTCCTTCCTTAGAGGCTCCCCCCAAAGCACCCTCTGTTGGGGGCAGCGTCTCCTTTGTGCCCAGGCGCAACGGTGTTTGGAGGTGAGCAGCCAAGGGGTCTAGAACGGGCTGATGTAAAGAGGATCCGGACTCCTTGCAGACCACACTTGCAGCCCTCACCCCAACCCCTCCAGGGACCCTCGCTCAGCCAATCACTCCAGCTTCTGGCTGCCTCAGGGGAAAGCGGGTCAGGGAACTGGGAGAGGGATCTTCCTGCTTTCCCGCCTCAAAATGGAGGCCGCTGTGTGCCTCAGAAGGGACAAACAAGGCTGCTGGGATAACGGGCGTGTGCACACCCACTGCGGACACAGCTAGGCTTCCCCGGGGATCTTACAGCCCCCCACACCTCTGCGTGAACGGCCCCCCTGTCTGGTGAGGGATAGGGATGGGGATCTTTTGTTTCATATTTGCTAAGGGCGTGTCAACCCTGGGCTGGAGACAGCAAGGAGGAACGACCGCCTCCTGCGTGGCCTTAATCGCCAAGGGCAGCCGCGGTGCAAAGGCCTTTTCGGTGGACCCGGGATCCCCGCAACTCACAAGGAGTGGAGCAAGGTCTCACCCAAACTCCCTGCAACCTCACAATCTAGGCTGGCATCAGACGCGCCCACGCGATTCCCAGATCAATCCCCGCCGGATAGAGCCTGGAATGGCCAAGTGCCAGCGTCACCGAAACAATGCCGGTGTCCGTCTCTATTCACCCAAGCGACCCCTTAAGTCCCCAAAACCATTTCTGCCGGCTGCACCCCCCCCCCAGCTTTGTGCTGCGGCCTTGGCCCCATGGGGTGGGACTCAGAGGCCACCCTAAGAGCGCTCCCTCTGCCGAGACCTGAGGTGCTCCCCGCCTGGCTCGGCACCTGGGAGGAGGAGGACAGGAAAACTGCTGGACCCCTGGACTGAGTGAGTGTCTGCCAGCCACCGCACCCCCAACACTGCCACCCACTAGCCCAACTGCTCTCCTGGGGAGCCAGATGGAAGCGCTCAGCTCTGGCTGGGGACTGGAGGCGCAGGAAGGCCAGGCTGCGCCTGGGCAGCTCCCTCTGTGGATGTGAATGTGGGGGGAGGGGGCGTTGAATTTAATGGGGCCCGGCCCCACTGAGACTCCGGGGACAGGGCTGGATCCGAGCTCCAGAAACACACACACAATGGAACATTGAGAGACAGCAGAATGGCAAAAAAACGGCAGGACCTTGGATGCTACAGACACTGCTGAGGACGCCTGTGACCTGCGGGAACAGACTCCCTCCGCAGCCAAATCTGTGCTAAGCTTGCCCAGCGTCCCCTCACTTTGTGCTTGGACTCACAACAGCCACTGTACCTAGGGGGCTCACAAGGGTGGAAGCAGTCCCAATAAGGGCACACCCGGCGGGCGTTTTGAGAACCGGAAGGCAGGCACCGTGGTACCAATCGCCAGTGGAGGAGCTTCTGTCCTAGGCGGGTCGCAGGACCACAGCCTCAAGGCCTGAGTCTGTCTATAGAGGAGAGGAGCCCGGACCAGCGCCCCGGGCAGCGGCTGAAATGTTTAAATGGTTCGTGCAGAGACTACACTTTGGGTTTTTATTTTTATTTTGGGGATTTTGAGAGTTAGATTTCTTTTTTATTTTCCTGGGATTACTTTGTTTTGTTGGTTATGTTTTTCCTTTTGCTTTGTTTTTGGCAGAAGGGCTCACATTTTCATGGAGGAACTATGCCGGGCTCTGTCATTTTGGTCTTTATTTTCCCCCTTTATATACATGCTGTTGTAACCCCTCCCCTCCTGACACACACACACACACACACACACACACACGCATAAGCAGATCAGCAACCAAATGTATTGTCTGTGTAAACAGAACATTTTCATTCTCTCTCTCTCTCTCTCACACACACACACACACACACACACACACACACATACCCACACACAAACCCCTACAGGATTGGAGCTTACCAGTGACCTGGCTGGCGGGGAAGCCTGAGTCTTTCCACAGTTGAGACAGTGAGCACTTGGGACTGGAAGGGACCCAGGCCACATGTGTCCCTGGGCCTCAGCTGACAAGCAAATGTGAATGTTCACCCTCTGCTCCTCACCTGTAGGGAGAGCAGGTGTCTGAGGGTCTGAGTGGCTCCATGTCCTTTCTCCAATTGCCCTTTCCTGGGGCCTGGGGCCTTAGCACCCTGCTCCCCACTCTGTCTGCCAAATTCCCTGACTTGTGTTTTCAGTAGGTGGGGGCATGGGAAGGGTGTGAATTTTCCTTCAATGTCCTGTTCGCCTGATGTAAAATGAAGGCTGGCTTGGGGAAGCCTGCAGGGCACGGCAGTGTGTCTCAGAGAGTTCTTTTTTTTTTTTTTAATCAATCTTTATTGTTCATATTGTTACAAAGGTTCCTCATTTCTTCCCCCCTCCACCAGGTTCCCACCCCACCCTCCGCCCCCTCCCCATCCCCCATTGTCCTCATTTATAGGTGCACAGTTTATGTTCAGTCTCTTCCTCCCTCCCTTTCCCTGATAGTAAATCCCTTTTCAGATAGTAAATCAGTTACTTAGCATTTTCTCATATCAATAATACCTCCACATGCCCAAAGATACACTTCACACAAAAGACATTTCCAAATAGGTCAACCAGCCTCATCCAGGCCCCACCCAAGGCACTCACAGATCAACACCCCAGCCCTATACTAACTCAACACATCCAGATCTAAGCCTTCATCACTTGATTCAACAGACCCTCAAGTTCCCACAAAAGTTTCCAGCCATGTCTGAGAGGCCGCCGTGGGGCAGGGGCAGGCGAGAATGTTGGAACAGCGGCAGTCAGAGAGTTCTGACCTCGGTTTGAGAAGCTCTGAGAGAGGACACTGCGGCTTGGTGGTCCTGCCCAGGAATCCCTGGGTTCCTGGGTGGTCTCTGCGCTTGACTGCCTTCCCCCACATTTGAGAAAGAGGTTGGAGGGAGTGGGGGAACCAGGGTACCCTAGGACACTGCTGAAAGACGTGGTGGCCTCAGGACCCCTCTGGCTTACTAAGCCCAGGGGCAGTGGGACCCAGAACAGCCAGGGCTGAAAGCGTGGGAGGGAGGGTGAGGATGGGGAGGGACCCTCCAATCACCTCTCCAACGCTCTCCCCTTTGCTTGATAGCTGGCTCTGGATTCATTCCACAAACATTAGCCAGTACACACTCTGTGCTGGACCAGCCTGCGGTGGCTTACCAATCCAGAGACTGATTTGCAAGCAGGGCCTTGTGGAGTCCCCATGAAATAGCTCAGACGTGAGCCTAGCACACAGTAGGCGCTCAGTAAATATTTGTCTAAGGAATGAAAGGAGGCATTGCCAGCAGCATCTTATATTTCACTAAAGAGAAGGCCTCCCCCAGAGGAACATCTGTTCTAAGATGACCTCCTTATTTTTTTATATCAAAATAGGTTGCTCCTAGCCCTAACCGGTTTGGCTCAGCAGATAGAGCGTAGACCTGCGGACTGAAAGGTCCCAGGTTCAATTCCTGTCAAGGGCACGTACCTTGGTTGCGGGCACATCCCCAGTGGGAGGTGTACAGCAGGCAGCTAATTGATGCTTGTCTCTCATCAATGTTTCTAACTCGCTATCCTCCCTTTCTCTCTATAAAAAAATCAATAAAATATATATTTAAAGTGTCGTTCGTTCCTAATATGAAATGATGATGCCAGAACACAGAATGATTGTTAAAATATAAAGGTGATAACGCCATATTTTTGGAATTTCCTGCAATCCTCCATTTTGGGGACTATAGAACACAAAACCTGAAAAGCCTCGAATGTGGTTCTTTTACTGGGACCAGGGCCGGAGAGGCCGCCCTGGCCCAGGGGCTGGAGGGGAAGGTCGGGAGCGCAGTCCCAGGAAGGGCATTGTCTGTCCGTAGCCAGCCTCACGGAGGCTCTCTGGCTGCTTAGTGTGCGGCTCCACCCGCAAAGCCGCCAGCGCAGTGAGAGCAGAAACCAAGTAAACCTGCGTGAACCCCCCCACCGAGTCCACACTAATCCTTCGCGGGAACTTGAAACTACCGGGTAGTGAAGGCCAGGGTGTGTTCTGAATTTTACTGCTGCCGCTGCCCCTGCGTCCACCGGGAGCTGAGGAGTCGGGAGTCAGGGCGGAGGGAGGACAGAGGACCCAACCTTGGAGGCAGGGACACTTCACAGACCCAGAGAGGATTTCAAAGGCGGGAGAAGGCTCCTTAGATATAGCATCTCCCCTGTTCCAGTTTTAGGGGTGCTCCTCCAGGCGATTTCCCCATTTTCATACACAAACATTAGCGAAAGTGGAATCTGTTTTCGCAGTTTACCTTCCTAAAGAATTTGACCCGCAGGGGTTCCCTTTTCAGGCTCAACCCTTCCACGTGCTTCCTTGGGCCGGGAAAGCGAAATTCTCCCAGCCTCCGGTGGATGGATGTTCCCGTTGTTTTCCCCAAATATAAACACTGTGGATATTTTGCCCACTTTGACTATTGCCAGGGAGTAATTTCTAGCAGTGGAATTACTGCTTGAAATATTCGGGGTTTGGTTTGTTTTTAAATAAAAACGTGTTTCCTTTCATTTTAAAATAGTGATCCATGTGACCAAAAGTTGTTGGTTTAAGCACACAGTGAAGAATCTTCCCAGCCCCATCCTCATCAGGTTCTCACTTGGCTGGAAGGTGGTCTAATGTGTCCTTTTGTTCTAATACGTCCTTTCAAATAATTGTGATGATCATGCTTGTCACTGCTATAATCTTTTCCCTTGCTTTTATTTTTTTACTCATATAGTAACATCTCTATATTTTTCTGCACCTTACTATTTTCACTTACCAGTATATCTTGGGATGTAAATAAGTTATTACTCTTTTTTTTTTTTACATATGTATAGTATTGCATTTACATAGATTGGCTAGACCATAATGTATGTTATGGAACCCATACCATGTTGATAGACATGTATCTTTTTTCTTATCTGTTGCTATTATATACTCTGCTGCAATAAATAAATTTCTTTTGTGGTAATTTCTACCTGTATAGGTGTATCTGTCAGAGAAGTTCTGTTGGAAGATAATGGTACCCCCACAGATGGTACCCCCCACAAATAGTGTTTGTATCTCCAAATCTGACCACCTCAGTTTACCCTTTATATCTTGATAGCTATTGTCAAATTGTTCTTCAAGAAAAAATGCTTAGCAATTTATAACCCTACCTTTGCCCTCTCCCCACATTGAAGATATATATATATATATAACCTTTATCAATATTATAGGTAATAAGTAGTGCCTTGCTGGCATTTTAATTTTTATTTATTTGATTATTAATTGTTTCTTTATTTTCTTTTCATGTTTATTGCCACTTGTATTTCTTCTGCCATTATTTATTAATTCATTTCCTTTGACCAGTTTTAATTTCAGATATCCCTGTCTTTAATGATTTGCAGAAACTCTGTGTTATGGATTGTAGCTCATTGCTTTCAATGTATGTTTCAGTTTTGTTTGTTTTTTTAGTTTATAATCTGTCTTTTAATTTTGTTTCTGATGTCTTTTGTTTCCTGAAGTTTAAAGTAACTTTCTAATTACAAAATCAATCCATGTTGCTTTGCTCTATCATGTAAGTTGAAAATTCTTTATTATCCCCATATAATACATTCCACTTCCAAAATGTAACCTCCCAATTTTCCAGAGTAACTGAAAAAATATATGAAAATATATGTTACAAAAGTGGGATTTCTTTTTTGCAAAGTGCTTTTTTTTAATTTAATAAACATTTGTAAAAATCTTTCCATATAGAATTGTCTCATTTTCTAAAATACCTGGGCAGTATTTTATTATGCAGATATAATTTATTTAAACAGTTCCCTGTTGATGTGTATTTAGGTTGGTCCTACTCTTTCACTATTCCAAACAATGGTTCAGTGAACATCGTATCCCTATTTGAACAGAAGGTTGTTAAAAGTCTCATTTATGAAACAGTCTGAAAAATGTGAAGATCTGTGGGCCATTTCTATTAAGGAATTGTTAATTTTGGGGTTGTGGAAATAGTATTGTGTTTTTTTTATTTTTAAAGGAATCTTATTTTTAAGAGATATGTAGAAAAATTATTTAGATGACATGTCTGGGATTTGCTTAAAATTATGGGCTATAAAAGAAATAGGATTGTTTCTGAGTTTATAGTTGTTGACATCAGAGGAAATGTACATCAGGGCTCATTATACTGTTCTCTCTAATTATGTTTAAACTTTCTCAAAATAAACTTTCTCAAAATAAAATGTTTTCAATAAGTATAATTTCAAATTTATCTGATATGAATATAATTACAGGATAAATTCCTAGAAGTGAAATTTTGAAATCCAAGTATAGATGCTTAAAAATGTGATAGATATTTCCAAATGCCAAAAATGTGCTAATTTATATTCCCAGCAATTGTGTATAAATGTGCCATTTCTCCACATCTTCCCATCCCAGGATATACTCAAGTTTTTAGAGTAAAATCTTTTCATGTGAAAAAAAAATCTTATTTTTATTAGCATGAAGTTAAATTAGTAATTTAAAAGTTAAATTAGTAATTTAAATTAGGTTAAGTAATTTTAATATACTTACTTTTCATTTTTATTTCCTATTCTGTGAATTTTTAAATTCATGAACCTTGCCATTTCTGTATTGGTTTGCTCATTGTTTTCTTATAGTTGTAATCTTTGCTATGAATTTTTTATCTTCTTTAAAACTGCCATGAGTTTTTTTCTGAATTAAAATTTAAACTGTAATCACATCTAGTAGTCATTTCTTTTTGGGCTTCTACATTTTAATTCTCAATTAGAAAGGATTCTCCAACCAAAAATAAACATATTAGATATTTCATATAATATTATGTATCTATATCTTAGAATTTTTGTTTAATTTTTTTGTTAGTCTTTGCAACAAACCTAATAATAAAGAAGTACACAAAGTAAGAAGGGATAAATCTTAACCCTCTGACTGGTTTCCACTCTCCAAAACAAATGGAAGAGAGAGGTTTTGTCCTACCAGACTTAACCCTGTGTAGGTAAAAGCGTGCTTGCATGTGTGGCTGCACACACACATACACACACAAAACACACAGACACAATTATTAGTTTTACTTTTTTGTTCTTTGTAAAAAATGGTTTATACATGCTTTGTAGCTGGGTCAACATGGAGAGGTTAATGTCTTGTTAATATTTCTTGTTAATGTCTACATAATAGCAAAGGCATGATTATACTGTGACTTTATCCACATATTCCAACTGATAAACATCTAGTTTTTTCCTTTCTCTCTCTCTCTCTCTCTCTCTCTCTCTCTCTCACTATGCTACAAACAGTGGATTTATCTTTATACTAATATTTCCCTGGGGGTAAAAACCTCTATAAAATTTCTAGGAAAAGGAATGTATGCATTTTTCAGTTGGGTTAGGCATTGTGAAGTTGCCCTCCAAAAAAAACCCCTCATATTGTGTTAAATTGTATTCTTAATAACAGAGCTTGAAAGAAACAATATTTTCCCTCACCTTTGCCAGCACCATTTTCTCAGCCTGGTATGGCATCTGAAAAAAAATTGTATCTCATTGCTGTTTTAGCTTTCATTTTCTCCAGTTCCTTCTGAGCTTGAGTATGTTTTATATGTATTAGCTGCTTGCATTTCTCTTCTCTAAATAACCCACCATGTAATTTGCTCAGTTTCCGACTGGGCTGTTTGGCTTGACTCGTTTGTCTATAGAGACTGTGTGTGTTTTAGACATTAAGACTCTGTTATGCATGCATTATTAATATTTTATCCCAAGCTATCATTTGTTTTTTAACTGCCTCTCACCCTGCAGAAGCCTTTATTTCTAGGCACTCAGAACTGTCACTGGCTTTCCTTCTGAAAAATTATTTTAAGGTGTTTTTCAATCTTTAGAGCTTTATATTTTCCATTTAAATTGTTAAGCCATCTTGTGTTTATTTTTGTACGTAGTGTGATACCATTACTTTATTCCAGATAATCAGCTAATTGTCCAAAAGCCACATCTTTTTTAAAAAATATATATTTTATTGATTTTTTTACAGAGAGGAAGGGAGAGGGGTTAGAGAGTTAGAAACATCGATCAGCTGCCTCATGCACACCCTGGGGATATGCCCACAACCAAAGTACATGCCCTTGACTGGAATCGAACCTGGGACCCTTCAGTCTGCAGGCCATCACACTATTCACTGAGCCAAAAGCCACATCTTTAATAGTTCTGTCTTGCCTCCAATTAATTTGAAATTTATAATAAGCCTAATCCTCATTTATGCATTGATTTGGCTCACAACTCCTGTGCCAGCATCATACCATTTTAGTAGCTCTAGATTTGTTGTCTAT